ATCTTCAGTGACTTGAAAGAACTGAAAGAGAGAGTTCACAGCAATCTTGATATAATCAATATATTAGTTTACTATTACATGATATAACAAGATTGAAAAGACTAAATGTCTTTTTTGAGAGAGTTCACAAAGATCTGAATATAACACACTTGAAAAAGACTCAATGAGAAACTAACAGCTTAATCATGCGTAATTACTAGTTCAGTTCATAGAAAGTTAATCACAGAAGAATCAGGCTATCAGCACTTGGCATCATTCTAAGATAGACTGTAAAGAAGCTGCTGCTTAATTTGATGAAAAGCTACAACTCTATCTAGCTACTGAGAAGTGCTACAATGTTTATATATAAGCAGCACATAAACAGTAACAAGAAAGGCTGTTAACCTGTGAACTTTTAGATGGCAGCAATTTCATATTTAAAGTTATCAGATGATGAAGAAAATAGAAACTACATGAGACAAAACAGAAAACTGCACTTCCATTAGACCAGTACATCCTGCCCTTACTATGAAATGACATTCTCTCACACCTTCTCTCCCTCTCTACATTCCACTCACAATAATATACCCTCACCCTCTCCATCATTCTATTTTTCTCCCTCCCTTTCTCACCCTTTCACCCTATCATAACACCCTTAACCACCTACCACCTATACCCCTTCTGCTTGGTGTTAAGTCCCTATGAGAAAATTGGGTTAGTAAATGAATACAATATTATAAGATGTACCAAATATGGAAGAACTTACATTTTAGAAATATGAAGAAAATTCAGAACTAATTGACATTAAACATAAATATATGATACTGAGCCACTTTTAGAAATGTAGTCTTATTTTCTACACATAATGGTCATCATAGCATTCGTACAAAAGATTAACAGCCAAAGTTACAGAAAGCCAAATTTTGTAATGTCAATTTGAAAATAGAATGCTATTTTGATTGATAAACATTATGAATGCCAAAAGTGTATATTTAACTCTTAATTTTGAAGTGTTTTGGGTGTGTTGATGAAAAAAATATGTTGCAAAAAATGAAAAAAAAAAACATAAATAAAAAATGCCAAATGGTATAAAAATCCAAATAGTTAAAAAACATATAAAGCAAAAAGCCAAATGAAAAAATGCCAAAGTTTAAAAATGCCAAATGGTATTGAAAATACCTGTCTGCTTGTACTAGCCAGCCGGCCTGTGGGTTAGCTGGACTTTAAGGTGCTAGTTCACCAAGACAAATGCCCACAGTAAGACACCTATCTTTTTCCTTTTGGAGTACCAGTTTTTAAGTCTCCGATTTGACTTGGGGGGCTTAAAATTAACTGAGATAAAATTGAAAAATATATAAAAACAGTCATATGTACAATTTAAAAATTTGGTCATAAAAAAGGTAAAATATCCCCTCTGACCCCCATTCCCAAATGGATAAAAAATATTTAAAATTTCCCTTTTTTCCCCAATAAAATGTAGGCAAATATTTTTTTGGACCTAGCCACCACGCTTGAACAGAGCTTCCAAGCTAGGCTAAGACTGAGCCACCAAGCTTAGGCTCACTTAGACATACGTACAAGTAGTAGCAGATACTTGATACGTATGCTAGGGGACGTTACTATACCTAAAAGGGAGGTATAGCATCTGTGAACCCTAAACACAGAGACCGGCTTAACTTCGCCATACGTATCATGAATAGTATCCAACTACTTCTTGTACTTGACTTTTAAGTCAATAGTTTATCCTGTGCATTATGTGTCATATTGCATACAACTTTAAAATACACAAATTGTACTTACATAGTTTACACTTGTATCTTATCCTACCACATACACTTCAATCTATTTTCTTTAGGCAAACCAATGAGACATAAACAAATAGATCTTCTCTGCATAGTCATTTACTACAGACAATCTTTGATATCAAAATCTTATTACATGTGTCATAAAAGCTATGTTTAATAAAGGAACAGTTAATATGGGGTTAAGGTCAGCCTGGTGCCCTGGTCAGGTAATTTCTATTTGATAGACATGGTTTAAATATCACCCAAACATAGCTGACCTATTCCCCGAATGAAGAGTGGTAGACCTCACAACATCTTAGTAATACATTTGGTTTATTGGATCATGAAAATACGGTCAAAAGAGTGGTAGACCTCACAACACCTTAGTAATACAATTTGTGCATTGAACCATGAAAATAAGGTCAAGTGCAATGGAACTACTTCAGATCATTAGGCATCTGCAAATACAAAATGGATTACCTATATCTTATCTTCTGAAAATAAATCTTTACACAAAATTGTTAACAGTCCACCAAAGATTATTCATGTTGCATCTTCAGTGACTTGAAAGAACTGAAAGAGAGAGTTCACAGCAATCTTGATATAATCAATATATTAGTATACTATTACATGATATAACGAGATTGAAAAGACTAAATGTCTTTTTTGAGAGAGTTCACAAAGATCTGAATATAACACACTTGAAAAAGACTCAATGAGAAACTAACAGCTTAATCATGCGTAATTACTAGTTCAGTTCATAGAAAGTTAAGCACAGAAGAATCAGGCTATCAGCACTTGGCATCATTCTAAGATAGACTGTAAAGAAGCTGCTGCTTAATTTGATGAAAAGCTACAACTCTATCTAGCTACTGAGAAGTGCTACAATGTTTATATATAAGCAGCACATAAACAGTAACAAGAAAGGCTGTTAACCTGTGAACTTTTAGATGGCAGCAATTTCATATTTAAAGTTATCAGATGATGAAGAAAATAGAAACTACATGAGACAAAACAGAAAACTGCACTTCCATTAGACCAGTACATCCTGCCCTTACTATGAAATGACATTCTCTCACACCTTCTCTCCCTCTCTACATTCCACTCACAATCATATACCCTCACCCTCTCCATCATTCTATTTTTCTCCCTCCCTTTCTCACCCTTTCACCCTATCATAACACCCTTAACCACCTACCACCTATACCCCTTCTGCTTGGTGTTAAGTCCCTATGAGAAAATTGGGTTAGTAAATGAATACAATATTATAAGATGTACCAAATATGGAAGAACTTACATTTTAGAAATATGAAGAAAATTCAGAACTAATTGACATTAAACATAAATATATGATACTGAGCCACTTTTAGAAATGTAGTCTTATTTTCTACACATAATGGTCATCATAGCATTCGTACAAAAGATTAACAGCCAAAGTTACAGAAAGCCAAATTGTGTAATGTCAATTTGAAAATAGAATGCTATTTTGATTGATAAACATTATGAATGCCAAAAGTGTATATTTAACTCTTAATTTTGAAGTGTTTTGGGTGTGTTGATGAAAAAATATGTTGCAAAAAATGAAAAAAAAAAACATAAATAAAAAATGCCAAATGGTATAAAAATCCAAATAGTTAAAAAACATATAAAGCAAAAAGCCAAATGAAAAAATGCCAAAGTTTAAAAATGCCAAATGGTATTGAAAATACCTGTCTGCTTGTACTAGCCAGCCGGCCTGTGGGTTAGCTGGACTTTAAGGTGCTAGTTCACCAAGACAAATGCCCACAGTAAGACACCTATCTTTTTCCTTTTGGAGTACCAGTTTTTAAGTCTCCGATTTGACTTGGGGGGCTTAAAATTAACTGAGATAAAATTGAAAAATATATAAAAACAGTCATATGTACAATTTAAAAATTTGGTCATAAAAAAGGTAAAATATCCCCTCTGACCCCCATTCCCAAATGGATAAAAAATATTTAAAATTTCCCTTTTTTCCCCAATAAAATGTAGGCAAATATTTTTTTGGACCTAGCCACCACGCTTGAACAGAGCTTCCAAGCTAGGCTAAGACTGAGCCACCAAGCTTAGGCTCACTTAGACATACGTACAAGTAGTAGCAGATACTTGATACGTATGCTAGGGGACGTTACTATACCTAAAAGGGAGGTATAGCATCTGTGAACCCTAAACACAGAGACCGGCTTAACTTCGCCATACGTATCATGAATAGTATCCAACTACTTCTTGTACTTGACTTTTAAGTCAATAGTTTATCCTGTGCATTATGTGTCATATTGCATACAACTTTAAAATACACAAATTGTACTTACATAGTTTACACTTGTATCTTATCCTACCACATACACTTCAATCTTTTTTCTTTAGGCAAACCAATGAGACATAAACAAATAGATCTTCTCTGCATAGTCATTTACTACAGACAATCTTTGATATCAAAATCTTATTACATGTGTCATAAAAGCTATGTTTAATAAAGGAACAGTTAATATGGGGTTAAGGTCAGCCTGGTGCCCTGGTCAGGTAATTTCTATTTGATAGACATGGTTTAAATATCACCCAAACATAGCTGACCTATTCCCCGAATGAAGAGTGGTAGACCTCACAACATCTTAGTAATACATTTGGTTTATTGGATCATGAAAATACGGTCAAAAGAGTGGTAGACCTCACAACACCTTAGTAATACAATTTGTGCATTGAACCATGAAAATAAGGTCAAGTGCAATGGAACTACTTCAGATCATTAGGCATCTGCAAATACAAAATGGATTACCTATATCTTATCTTCTGAAAATAAATCTTTAGACAAAATTGTTAACAGTCCACCAAAGATTATTCATGTTGCATCTTCAGTGACTTGAAAGAACTGAAAGAGAGAGTTCACAGCAATCTTGATATAATCAATATATTAGTTTACTATTACATGATATAACAAGATTGAAAAGACTAAATGTCTTTTTTGAGAGAGTTCACAAAGATCTGAATATAACACACTTGAAAAAGACTCAATGAGAAACTAACAGCTTAATCATGCGTAATTACTAGTTCAGTTCATAGAAAGTTAATCACAGAAGAATCAGGCTATCAGCACTTGGCATCATTCTAAGATAGACTGTAAAGAAGCTGCTGCTTAATTTGATGAAAAGCTACAACTCTATCTAGCTACTGAGAAGTGCTACAATGTTTATATATAAGCAGCACATAAACAGTAACAAGAAAGGCTGTTAACCTGTGAACTTTTAGATGGCAGCAATTTCATATTTAAAGTTATCAGATGATGAAGAAAATAGAAACTACATGAGACAAAACAGAAAACTGCACTTCCATTAGACCAGTACATCCTGCCCTTACTATGAAATGACATTCTCTCACACCTTCTCTCCCTCTCTACATTCCACTCACAATAATATACCCTCACCCTCTCCATCATTCTATTTTTCTCCCTCCCTTTCTCACCCTTTCACCCTATCATAACACCCTTAACCACCTACCACCTATACCCCTTCTGCTTGGTGTTAAGTCCCTATGAGAAAATTGGGTTAGTAAATGAATACAATATTATAAGATGTACCAAATATGGAAGAACTTACATTTTAGAAATATGAAGAAAATTCAGAACTAATTGACATTAAACATAAATATATGATACTGAGCCACTTTTAGAAATGTAGTCTTATTTTCTACACATAATGGTCATCATAGCATTCGTACAAAAGATTAACAGCCAAAGTTACAGAAAGCCAAATTTTGTAATGTCAATTTGAAAATAGAATGCTATTTTGATTGATAAACATTATGAATGCCAAAAGTGTATATTTAACTCTTAATTTTGAAGTGTTTTGGGTGTGTTGATGAAAAAAATATGTTGCAAAAAATGAAAAAAAAAAACATAAATAAAAAATGCCAAATGGTATAAAAATCCAAATAGTTAAAAAACATATAAAGCAAAAAGCCAAATGAAAAAATGCCAAAGTTTAAAAATGCCAAATGGTATTGAAAATACCTGTCTGCTTGTACTAGCCAGCCGGCCTGTGGGTTAGCTGGACTTTAAGGTGCTAGTTCACCAAGACAAATGCCCACAGTAAGACACCTATCTTTTTCCTTTTGGAGTACCAGTTTTTAAGTCTCCGATTTGACTTGGGGGGCTTAAAATTAACTGAGATAAAATTGAAAAATATATAAAAACAGTCATATGTACAATTTAAAAATTTGGTCATAAAAAAGGTAAAATATCCCCTCTGACCCCCATTCCCAAATGGATAAAAAATATTTAAAATTTCCCTTTTTTCCCCAATAAAATGTAGGCAAATATTTTTTTGGACCTAGCCACCACGCTTGAACAGAGCTTCCAAGCTAGGCTAAGACTGAGCCACCAAGCTTAGGCTCACTTAGACATACGTACAAGTAGTAGCAGATACTTGATACGTATGCTAGGGGACGTTACTATACCTAAAAGGGAGGTATAGCATCTGTGAACCCTAAACACAGAGACCGGCTTAACTTCGCCATACGTATCATGAATAGTATCCAACTACTTCTTGTACTTGACTTTTAAGTCAATAGTTTATCCTGTGCATTATGTGTCATATTGCATACAACTTTAAAATACACAAATTGTACTTACATAGTTTACACTTGTATCTTATCCTACCACATACACTTCAATCTATTTTCTTTAGGCAAACCAATGAGACATAAACAAATAGATCTTCTCTGCATAGTCATTTACTACAGACAATCTTTGATATCAAAATCTTATTACATGTGTCATAAAAGCTATGTTTAATAAAGGAACAGTTAATATGGGGTTAAGGTCAGCCTGGTGCCCTGGTCAGGTAATTTCTATTTGATAGACATGGTTTAAATATCACCCAAACATAGCTGACCTATTCCCCGAATGAAGAGTGGTAGACCTCACAACATCTTAGTAATACATTTGGTTTATTGGATCATGAAAATACGGTCAAAAGAGTGGTAGACCTCACAACACCTTAGTAATACAATTTGTGCATTGAACCATGAAAATAAGGTCAAGTGCAATGGAACTACTTCAGATCATTAGGCATCTGCAAATACAAAATGGATTACCTATATCTTATCTTCTGAAAATAAATCTTTACACAAAATTGTTAACAGTCCACCAAAGATTATTCATGTTGCATCTTCAGTGACTTGAAAGAACTGAAAGAGAGAGTTCACAGCAATCTTGATATAATCAATATATTAGTATACTATTACATGATATAACGAGATTGAAAAGACTAAATGTCTTTTTTGAGAGAGTTCACAAAGATCTGAATATAACACACTTGAAAAAGACTCAATGAGAAACTAACAGCTTAATCATGCGTAATTACTAGTTCAGTTCATAGAAAGTTAAGCACAGAAGAATCAGGCTATCAGCACTTGGCATCATTCTAAGATAGACTGTAAAGAAGCTGCTGCTTAATTTGATGAAAAGCTACAACTCTATCTAGCTACTGAGAAGTGCTACAATGTTTATATATAAGCAGCACATAAACAGTAACAAGAAAGGCTGTTAACCTGTGAACTTTTAGATGGCAGCAATTTCATATTTAAAGTTATCAGATGATGAAGAAAATAGAAACTACATGAGACAAAACAGAAAACTGCACTTCCATTAGACCAGTACATCCTGCCCTTACTATGAAATGACATTCTCTCACACCTTCTCTCCCTCTCTACATTCCACTCACAATCATATACCCTCACCCTCTCCATCATTCTATTTTTCTCCCTCCCTTTCTCACCCTTTCACCCTATCATAACACCCTTAACCACCTACCACCTATACCCCTTCTGCTTGGTGTTAAGTCCCTATGAGAAAATTGGGTTAGTAAATGAATACAATATTATAAGATGTACCAAATATGGAAGAACTTACATTTTAGAAATATGAAGAAAATTCAGAACTAATTGACATTAAACATAAATATATGATACTGAGCCACTTTTAGAAATGTAGTCTTATTTTCTACACATAATGGTCATCATAGCATTCGTACAAAAGATTAACAGCCAAAGTTACAGAAAGCCAAATTGTGTAATGTCAATTTGAAAATAGAATGCTATTTTGATTGATAAACATTATGAATGCCAAAAGTGTATATTTAACTCTTAATTTTGAAGTGTTTTGGGTGTGTTGATGAAAAATATGTTGCAAAAAATGAAAAAAAAAAACATAAATAAAAAATGCCAAATGGTATAAAAATCCAAATAGTTAAAAAACATATAAAGCAAAAAGCCAAATGAAAAAATGCCAAAGTTTAAAAATGCCAAATGGTATTGAAAATACCTGTCTGCTTGTACTAGCCAGCCGGCCTGTGGGTTAGCTGGACTTTAAGGTGCTAGTTCACCAAGACAAATGCCCACAGTAAGACACCTATCTTTTTCCTTTTGGAGTACCAGTTTTTAAGTCTCCGATTTGACTTGGGGGGCTTAAAATTAACTGAGATAAAATTGAAAAATATATAAAAACAGTCATATGTACAATTTAAAAATTTGGTCATAAAAAAGGTAAAATATCCCCTCTGACCCCCATTCCCAAATGGATAAAAAATATTTAAAATTTCCCTTTTTTCCCCAATAAAATGTAGGCAAATATTTTTTTGGACCTAGCCACCACGCTTGAACAGAGCTTCCAAGCTAGGCTAAGACTGAGCCACCAAGCTTAGGCTCACTTAGACATACGTACAAGTAGTAGCAGATACTTGATACGTATGCTAGGGGACGTTACTATACCTAAAAGGGAGGTATAGCATCTGTGAACCCTAAACACAGAGACCGGCTTAACTTCGCCATACGTATCATGAATAGTATCCAACTACTTCTTGTACTTGACTTTTAAGTCAATAGTTTATCCTGTGCATTATGTGTCATATTGCATACAACTTTAAAATACACAAATTGTACTTACATAGTTTACACTTGTATCTTATCCTACCACATACACTTCAATCTTTTTTCTTTAGGCAAACCAATGAGACATAAACAAATAGATCTTCTCTGCATAGTCATTTACTACAGACAATCTTTGATATCAAAATCTTATTACATGTGTCATAAAAGCTATGTTTAATAAAGGAACAGTTAATATGGGGTTAAGGTCAGCCTGGTGCCCTGGTCAGGTAATTTCTATTTGATAGACATGGTTTAAATATCACCCAAACATAGCTGACCTATTCCCCGAATGAAGAGTGGTAGACCTCACAACATCTTAGTAATACATTTGGTTTATTGGATCATGAAAATACGGTCAAAAGAGTGGTAGACCTCACAACACCTTAGTAATACAATTTGTGCATTGAACCATGAAAATAAGGTCAAGTGCAATGGAACTACTTCAGATCATTAGGCATCTGCAAATACAAAATGGATTACCTATATCTTATCTTCTGAAAATAAATCTTTAGACAAAATTGTTAACAGTCCACCAAAGATTATTCATGTTGCATCTTCAGTGACTTGAAAGAACTGAAAGAGAGAGTTCACAGCAATCTTGATATAATCAATATATTAGTATACTATTACATGATATAACGAGATTGAAAAGACTAAATGTCTTTTTTGAGAGAGTTCACAAAGATCTGAATATAACACACTTGAAAAAGACTCAATGAGAAACTAACAGCTTAATCATGCGTAATTACTAGTTCAGTTCATAGAAAGTTAAGCACAGAAGAATCAGGCTATCAGCACTTGGCATCATTCTAAGATAGACTGTAAAGAAGCTGCTGCTTAATTTGATGAAAAGCTACAACTCTATCTAGCTACTGAGAAGTGCTACAATGTTTATATATAAGCAGCACATAAACAGTAACAAGAAAGGCTGTTAACCTGTGAACTTTTAGATGGCAGCAATTTCATATTTAAAGTTATCAGATGATGAAGAAAATAGAAACTACATGAGACAAAACAGAAAACTGCACTTCCATTAGACCAGTACATCCTGCCCTTACTATGAAATGACATTCTCTCACACCTTCTCTCCCTCTCTACATTCCACTCACAATCATATACCCTCACCCTCTCCATCATTCTATTTTTCTCCCTCCCTTTCTCACCCTTTCACCCTATCATAACACCCTTAACCACCTACCACCTATACCCCTTCTGCTTGGTGTTAAGTCCCTATGAGAAAATTGGGTTAGTAAATGAATACAATATTATAAGATGTACCAGATATGGAAGAACTTACATTTTAGAAATATGAAGAAAATTCAGAACTAATTGACATTAAACATAAATATATGATACTGAGCCACTTTTAGAAATGTAGTCTTATTTTCTACACATAATGGTCATCATAGCATTCGTACAAAAGATTAACAGCCAAAGTTACAGAAAGCCAAATTGTGTAATGTCAATTTGAAAATAGAATGCTATTTTGATTGATAAACATTATGAATGCCAAAAGTGTATATTTAACTCTTAATTTTGAAGTGTTTTGGGTGTGTTGATGAAAAAATATGTTGCAAAAAATGAAAAAAAAAACATAAATAAAAAATGCCAAATGGTATAAAAATCCAAATAGTTAAAAAACATATAAAGCAAAAAGCCAAATGAAAAAATGCCAAAGTTTAAAAATGCCAAATGGTATTGAAAATACCTGTCTGCTTGTACTAGCCAGCCGGCCTGTGGGTTAGCTGGACTTTAAGGTGCTAGTTCACCAAGACAAATGCCCACAGTAAGACACCTATCTTTTTCCTTTTGGAGTACCAGTTTTTAAGTCTCCGATTTGACTTGGGGGGCTTAAAATTAACTGAGATAAAATTGAAAAATATATAAAAACAGTCATATGTACAATTTAAAAATTTGGTCATAAAAAAGGTAAAATATCCCCTCTGACCCCCATTCCCAAATGGATAAAAAATATTTAAAATTTCCCTTTTTTCCCCAATAAAATGTAGGCAAATATTTTTTTGGACCTAGCCACCACGCTTGAACAGAGCTTCCAAGCTAGGCTAAGACTGAGCCACCAAGCTTAGGCTCACTTAGACATACGTACAAGTAGTAGCAGATACTTGATACGTATGCTAGGGGACGTTACTATACCTAAAAGGGAGGTATAGCATCTGTGAACCCTAAACACAGAGACCGGCTTAACTTCGCCATACGTATCATGAATAGTATCCAACTACTTCTTGTACTTGACTTTTAAGTCAATAGTTTATCCTGTGCATTATGTGTCATATTGCATACAACTTTAAAATACACAAATTGTACTTACATAGTTTACACTTGTATCTTATCCTACCACATACACTTCAATCTTTTTTCTTTAGGCAAACCAATGAGACATAAACAAATAGATCTTCTCTGCATAGTCATTTACTACAGACAATCTTTGATATCAAAATCTTATTACATGTGTCATAAAAGCTATGTTTAATAAAGGAACAGTTAATATGGGGTTAAGGTCAGCCTGGTGCCCTGGTCAGGTAATTTCTATTTGATAGACATGGTTTAAATATCACCCAAACATAGCTGACCTATTCCCCGAATGAAGAGTGGTAGACCTCACAACATCTTAGTAATACATTTGGTTTATTGGATCATGAAAATACGGTCAAAAGAGTGGTAGACCTCACAACACCTTAGTAATACAATTTGTGCATTGAACCATGAAAATAAGGTCAAGTGCAATGGAACTACTTCAGATCATTAGGCATCTGCAAATACAAAATGGATTACCTATATCTTATCTTCTGAAAATAAATCTTTAGACAAAATTGTTAACAGTCCACCAAAGATTATTCATGTTGCATCTTCAGTGACTTGAAAGAACTGAAAGAGAGAGTTCACAGCAATCTTGATATAATCAATATATTAGTATACTATTACATGATATAACAAGATTGAAAAGACTAAATGTCTTTTTTGAGAGAGTTCACAAAGATCTGAATATAACACACTTGAAAAAGACTCAATGAGAAACTAACAGCTTAATCATGCGTAATTACTAGTTCAGTTCATAGAAAGTTAAGCACAGAAGAATCAGGCTATCAGCACTTGGCATCATTCTAAGATAGACTGTAAAGAAGCTGCTGCTTAATTTGATGAAAAGCTACAACTCTATCTAGCTACTGAGAAGTGCTACAATGTTTATATATAAGCAGCACATAAACAGTAACAAGAAAGGCTGTTAACCTGTGAACTTTTAGATGGCAGCAATTTCATATTTAAAGTTATCAGATGATGAAGAAAATAGAAACTACATGAGACAAAACAGAAAACACTTCCATTAGACCAGTACATCCTGCCCTTACTATGAAATGACATTCTCTCACACCTTCTCTCCCTCTCTACATTCCACTCACAATCATATACCCTCACCCTCTCCATCATTCTATTTTTCTCCCTCCCTTTCTCACCCTTTCACCCTATCATAACACCCTTAACCACCTACCACCTATACCCCTTCTGCTTGGTGTTAAGTCCCTATGAGAAAATTGGGTTAGTAAATGAATACAATATTATAAGATGTACCAGATATGGAAGAACTTACATTTTAGAAATATGAAGAAAATTCAGAACTAATTGACATTAAACATAAATATATGATACTGAGCCACTTTTAGAAATGTAGTCTTATTTTCTACACATAATGGTCATCATAGCATTCGTACAAAAGATTAACAGCCAAAGTTACAGAAAGCCAAATTGTGTAATGTCAATTTGAAAATAGAATGCTATTTTGATTGATAAACATTATGAATGCCAAAAGTGTATATTTAACTCTTAATTTTGAAGTGTTTTGGGTGTGTTGATGAAAAAATATGTTGCAAAAAATGAAAAAAAAAACATAAATAAAAAATGCCAAATGGTATAAAAATCCAAATAGTTAAAAAACATATAAAGCAAAAAGCCAAATGAAAAAATGCCAAAGTTTAAAAATGCCAAATGGTATTGAAAATACCTGTCTGCTTGTACTAGCCAGCCGGCCTGTGGGTTAGCTGGACTTTAAGGTGCTAGTTCACCAAGACAAATGCCCACAGTAAGACACCTATCTTTTTCCTTTTGGAGTACCAGTTTTTAAGTCTCCGATTTGACTTGGGGGGCTTAAAATTAACTGAGATAAAATTGAAAAATATATAAAAACAGTCATATGTACAATTTAAAAATTTGGTCATAAAAAAGGTAAAATATCCCCTCTGACCCCCATTCCCAAATGGATAAAAAATATTTAAAATTTCCCTTTTTTCCCCAATAAAATGTAGGCAAATATTTTTTTTGACCTAGCCACCACGCTTGAACAGAGCTTCCAAGCTAGGCTAAGACTGAGCCACCAAGCTTAGGCTCACTTAGACATACGTACAAGTAGTAGCAGATACTTGATACGTATGCTAGGGGACGTTACTATACCTAAAAGGGAGGTATAGCATCTGTGAACCCTAAACACAGAGACCGGCTTAACTTCGCCATACGTATCATGAATAGTATCCAACTACTTCTTGTACTTGACTTTTAAGTCAATAGTTTATCCTGTGCATTATGTGTCATATTGCATACAACTTTAAAATACACAAATTGTACTTACATAGTTTACACTTGTATCTTATCCTACCACATACACTTCAATCTTTTTTCTTTAGGCAAACCAATGAGACATAAACAAATAGATCTTCTCTGCATAGTCATTTACTACAGACAATCTTTGATATCAAAATCTTATTACATGTGTCATAAAAGCTATGTTTAATAAAGGAACAGTTAATATGGGGTTAAGGTCAGCCTGGTGCCCTGGTCAGGTAATTTCTATTTGATAGACATGGTTTAAATATCACCCAAACATAGCTGACCTATTCCCCGAATGAAGAGTGGTAGACCTCACAACATCTTAGTAATACATTTGGTTTATTGGATCATGAAAATACGGTCAAAAGAGTGGTAGACCTCACAACACCTTAGTAATACAATTTGTGCATTGAACCATGAAAATAAGGTCAAGTGCAATGGAACTACTTCAGATCATTAGGCATCTGCAAATACAAAATGGATTACCTATATCTTATCTTCTGAAAATAAATCTTTAGACAAAATTGTTAACAGTCCACCAAAGATTATTCATGTTGCATCTTCAGTGACTTGAAAGAACTGAAAGAGAGAGTTCACAGCAATCTTGATATAATCAATATATTAGTATACTATTACATGATATAACGAGATTGAAAAGACTAAATGTCTTTTTTGAGAGAGTTCACAAAGATCTGAATATAACACACTTGAAAAAGACTCAATGAGAAACTAACAGCTTAATCATGCGTAATTACTAGTTCAGTTCATAGAAAGTTAAGCACAGAAGAATCAGGCTATCAGCACTTGGCATCATTCTAAGATAGACTGTAAAGAAGCTGCTGCTTAATTTGATGAAAAGCTACAACTCTATCTAGCTACTGAGAAGTGCTACAATGTTTATATATAAGCAGCACATAAACAGTAACAAGAAAGGCTGTTAACCTGTGAACTTTTAGATGGCAGCAATTTCATATTTAAAGTTATCAGATGATGAAGAAAATAGAAACTACATGAGACAAAACAGAAAACTGCACTTCCATTAGACCAGTACATCCTGCCCTTACTATGAAATGACATTCTCTCACACCTTCTCTCCCTCTCTACATTCCACTCACAATCATATACCCTCACCCTCTCCATCATTCTATTTTTCTCCCTCCCTTTCTCACCCTTTCACCCTATCATAACACCCTTAACCACCTACCACCTATACCCCTTCTGCTTGGTGTTAAGTCCCTATGAGAAAATTGGGTTAGTAAATGAATACAATATTATAAGATGTACCAGATATGGAAGAACTTACATTTTAGAAATATGAAGAAAATTCAGAACTAATTGACATTAAACATAAATATATGATACTGAGCCACTTTTAGAAATGTAGTCTTATTTTCTACACATAATGGTCATCATAGCATTCGTACAAAAGATTAACAGCCAAAGTTACAGAAAGCCAAATTGTGTAATGTCAATTTGAAAATAGAATGCTATTTTGATTGATAAACATTATGAATGCCAAAAGTGTATATTTAACTCTTAATTTTGAAGTGTTTTGGGTGTGTTGATGAAAAAATATGTTGCAAAAAATGAAAAAAAAAACATAAATAAAAAATGCCAAATGGTATAAAAATCCAAATAGTTAAAAAACATATAAAGCAAAAAGCCAAATGAAAAAATGCCAAAGTTTAAAAATGCCAAATGGTATTGAAAATACCTGTCTGCTTGTACTAGCCAGCCGGCCTGTGGGTTAGCTGGACTTTAAGGTGCTAGTTCACCAAGACAAATGCCCACAGTAAGACACCTATCTTTTTCCTTTTGGAGTACCAGTTTTTAAGTCTCCGATTTGACTTGGGGGGCTTAAAATTAACTGAGATAAAATTGAAAAATATATAAAAACAGTCATATGTACAATTTAAAAATTTGGTCATAAAAAAGGTAAAATATCCCCTCTGACCCCCATTCCCAAATGGATAAAAAATATTTAAAATTTCCCTTTTTTCCCCAATAAAATGTAGGCAAATATTTTTTTTGACCTAGCCACCACGCTTGAACAGAGCTTCCAAGCTAGGCTAAGACTGAGCCACCAAGCTTAGGCTCACTTAGACATACGTACAAGTAGTAGCAGATACTTGATACGTATGCTAGGGGACGTTACTATACCTTAAAGGGAGGTATAGCATCTGTGAACCCTAAACACAGAGACCGGCTTAACTTCGCCATACGTATCATGAATAGTATCCAACTACTGCGTGTACTTACTCAAATTTCTTTTCAGTCAGTCAACATTATCAAGATTATCTTGTAGACAACTATAAAATATGCATATTATTTAACAGAGTTTAAACTTGTTGCCATTTTTTCTATTTTCTCTCTTTACAATAAAAGTAGATGAGGCATAAACAAATAGAACACTTCTGCTTATATTCATTTACCACAGACAACCTTTGATATGGAAATCTTATTTCATGTGTCACAAAACTATACTGATTATATAATATGAGGTCAAGGTCAGGTAAATCCTGTCACCTTAAAATGATCAATTGTAAAGGTCAAAGTGAGGTGAAAACTGTAAAACATGCATGTATTTCTTTCAAGCAATTAATATACCCAAATTATTCCTTAAATTAAAAAAGTAGTAGTCCTCACACCTTGATAATACATTTTGTTTATTTAGTCTTTAAATCAAGGTCAAGGACAAGAGGACTATACTTCAGATCATTAGGCATCTGAATACTGATAACTTATCCGTTCGATATTCTGAAAAAAAAGCTTTATGAAATTTTGTTCACTCTACCAACAGTTTAGAATTTACATATATGATTATGTCCCATGCATATATTTTAGAAGCATAAAAACAGACACAGTGATTGAACAACAGCTATATAATTATCCTAGCTGTTATCAAATTTGTACATAATCATGCATGATTAGCCAGAAAATGATTAAAAGAGAAACATAATTAACAGCGCAATTCCAATTCAGATTCTGGAAAGAAAAGAACAGTTCTCGATATTCATAGAAAAAACATTGGAGTATCACAACCTGGTCATGCTGGTGTCAATCCAAGTAAGACAGAATACATGTATTTAGCTGCTGCTAAAATTGATGAAAAGCTACAACTCTATCTAGCTACTGAGAAGTGCTACAATGTTTATATATAAGCAGCACATAAACAGTAACAAGAAAGGCTGTTAACCTGTGAAATTTAAGACAGCAGTAACTTATCACAAGTGGTTGCAATGTTAAATGACCCTGTGCACTTAACATGAGTAACCATTTTATACTTTCTGCAAGGAACAAAAAAATCTTATAATCATGTGAAAATATAATAGATAAAAAATTATAACCAAAATTATAATTAACAGCCAAATTCAAATAATATCGATATTGCAATGAACTGTCTTTTTGATTATTTTTTCAACTGTGTCCATGTTCATTGCAATTATACCATCTTGATAGACAAAGATGGAAGGATTATAAGCACATAAATCTGGTTTAACCCAGCCAAATTGTGCTCCTGTACAGTCAGGCAGGGATCTTGACCATGTGTTGTTAGTTGTCTTTGTTTGTTCATCTTTATTTTCTCGGAGGAGATGGACCATTCCACATCTGGCAGGTTGTCCCCAACATGCTCAACATAAACATGAAACTTTATAAATAGGTTGTTAATTTTCTTGTTTGATTTGTTTCACATTTTTCCTGATAGGGCCTTTTACAGCCGACTATATGGTGTGGGTTTTTCACATTGTTGGATGCTGTACAGTGGCCTATAATTGCTTACATCCACTTCATTTAAAAGCTGGTGGGCAGTTGTCTCATTGGTAATCATGCCACATCTTATTTTTTAAAAAGTCAGATAAAGACCAATATATATATGTTAACTTATATGAATAAATGCAAGCAGGGCATACACACACAATTATCACAATGCATATTTTTAACACATATCAATATTGGGGGGATATAAAAGTTATAATGCAGGAATATGACAGTTGTTTTCCATACATTTGATGTGTTTGATCTTTTGATATTGCCATTTGATAAGGGACTTTCCGATTTGAATTTTCCTTAGAGTTCGATATCTTTGTTATTTAACTTTTTATTCAAAAAAAAAAGGGGGGGAACAGGAATTACCAACAAAATATTGGATACTGACTAAAGGTGATTAATTGAATGAATATATAACCCAGTATACACATGGTATAAAAAAAAAGAAATGATTAGTCTCTTCAAATATCTGCAAAATGGAAAACAGAAGTATATCAAAGATCATTCAAATGTAACAAACATCTCCAAATTAAGGTACTTACTTAGTTGAAACTGGCTGCCACAAAATTTCAAAATGGACCATCTCTCTTCAGAACGAAATATCAATTAAACTTGTCTACCAATTTACAAGATATATAAATCTAGATCAATCTGGACTTGAGTGAGACTAACTCAGTAGTCTTTATTATAAAACTTGTAAACCATAACCATATTTGGTAATTCATGAATATTTATAAAGGCTAAAATATGTACATATATATACAAAACTTGCCAACTCTTACCATATTTGGTAATACATGAATAGTAATGACATATATATGTTCATGTAATTTTGAATTGTAGCTTTAAGTAAAAACTGTTCACACTGAATGTTAAGTGATTTCTACAGTTTAAGAAAATTATAAATTTTAGATTTGAACGACTTTGCCCCAAAATAGAAAAACAGTAAATTAAGTATGTAAGAGAATAATAATCCCTTTCTTCATGATAAAGTACGAGCATTAGAGAATATTTATCATGAAGAAAGGGATAATCATTCTCCTACACAGACACTTTTTATGAATAGAGTCACTCGTGCATTCAGTGAGTTCATAGGCACTTTATCGTACACCTTGTGACA